CTGTTAAATACACCGTGTATTTCGATGCATAAAAAGATGGGCCTCGTTAATGATTTTTATAATAGCAGTAAGGCGTATCTACTGAAATAATAAGGCAATGAATTCGATGGACGACCAGCCGATTATGAATTCTTTGGATATATAACAACGTAAAAGATAATAGCTAGTTATATTTACGTCACAATCGATAATTACTATCAATTTTCGTAATTTTAGAACTTAAATGAGATAAATTGGTCAATGAATCTATATTGAATGATGTGCTACCTAACTCTGGAAAGGACGAATGACGTAAATAATATATTTAAAACAAACCGGCCAAGTGCGTGTCGTGCCACACGCAGTGTAAGGTTCCGTAGTTGCCTGTACTATAATATATTTGAGCAGGAGTCTTTATTTTCTATATTGGAAATTAGAAAAACCAATTAATATCAATCAATGTATCTCAACTAAAGTACCTAAATCAAAGTCAAATTGCGTCTCAAACTCAATATCAATTCGATTTTTTTTTAAATGATAACTGCGGATTTTTTTTTGTTTCCTCCGATGTGGCGTTTGTGAAATCCGCATGGATACCCTACAGCCGGCTGCAAGGTAATGTCAGACACTTACTGACTAAAAGCTTCATCTGAAGCGATCGCCCCCTGGGAAGGGGATGATGCGGTATAACCACCGATATTTTCAAGTGCTTATATACTTTTTATAAAAACGTAACGTTAGCCCTTAAAAGTCGTTGCCGTTCATACTCGCGGTAGCGTTGTGGAACTAATGATATTTCATAGTGGTTGTTTTAAAGTTTTTTTTAGATTTTGTTGCAATGCAAGGTTTTACGCTACAATAAATTCATCTATGTCACTATTAATGTTTTCCTCTAAGAAATTTTCAATAGGGAAGCAATTTTCAAACCTTTTCAACCAAAACCAAACGAAACTTAAGTAATACGACTATTACTCTTAAACTAACAGATCTATCTTAACCGTTAAAGTTTTCCTTAAAAGTTCATGTAGAGCACTATTATCATGAATTTTCCCAGGTTTTTCAAGCCAACAGTTTAGCTTTTAGAGGGGGGGTGGGCGCCCTACTCGAATTAAAATTTGCATTTTAAAGTTCAGTATTTCGCAAACCGATCCCTAAATCTATAGTAGATCTAATAGTCTTAGGAACTCCTATGTAATTTTTAAGGACCTATTCAACGATACCCCACACGATGGGGTAGATGATGAAAAAAAGACATCCCCAGGTTATGTCTCCCCATAGTCTCCAAGAAAAACCTTGTTAGGGCTACGGAACCCTAAAATCGACCAAGTGCGAGACGGACTTGCGTACGAAGGGTTCCGTACCATCGTTTCTAGAATTTTAGACACTGTATTATAATATCGAGCAAAAAACATTAAAAAAAACAGGTTTGTTGCATGAGAGATCGCAACAAACCCCAAAAGGAAAATTCATTTGTTTGTTTACGTCACAACGTACAAAATACATTACGAATCGGCGTTTTCAGTATTATTTGTTTAAATACAGCACATGGGACATCATATACCAAAATCGCACATTCTGCACTAGTTTCGATTTGGAAAAACACTCCGTAACAGAAACGGTCTAAAAATTAAAATTTTGAAAAAAATAATAAAGTAGAAAAACTTTGTTAAAACAAAGTGCATTTATTTAAATGCGCTGAAAAGAATAAAATAAAGTTCTCCCTTAAAACTTTTACTATGAACTTATAATTTATATAAAATAAAAGCTGGTCGCGAGATCGACCTGTGTACATAAAAAAAAATATATTGGATTGATTATATTTTTTTAAATTTAAAAATTATAACTACCATTACCTACTTAAATCTGGCGACAAGCTTTTATTTATATAAATAGTTGTTATAATATTAAAGTTATAAGTTCATAGTAAAAGTTTTAAGGAATTTTTTACTTTATTATATTTAGTACATTTAAATAAAAGCTTGTTTTTAAGAAAGATTTTTTTCTTTTAATTTTTAGTTATCGATAAACGTAATCGAGACCTTCAAAAACCCTATATTCTCAGCTAGTCTTTTCATTTGATACCCATATTGTAGGAAACCATAAAAAACTTAGGCCGATATCTTTTAAAGTCCGCGATATTAGAATTAAGGTGACATCACTTTATTTTCCGAGTTATTCTCATTAATGCCTTTCATTTGATACCCATATTGTAGAAAAGCATAAAAAACTAGTCTGCCACGACCTCCGTGGCCGAGTGTTTTGTACGCCGGGTTTCAAGGCGTCGCCTACTCGAGGGTTCGAATCCCAGTGGGGGCAGATGTTGTATGATGAATACGAGCATTTGTACTCCAGTCATGGATGTTTTTGTTACCCTAGTATCCCATAACTCAAGCCTACAGTGCTTACTTTGTGGCTAGGCTAATTGGTGTGAATGTTGGAAACACTTAAAAAAATAGATTTAAGGTAACGTCACTTTATTTTTCGAGTTATTCCCAGCAAGCCCTTACATTTGATATCTATATTGTAGGAGTGCATAAAAAATAACTCGTCCACCATTTTGTATGTTTCGCCATATTGGAGTTAAAATGACATTACACAGATCACCACCATGCATTGTCATCCAAACTTAACGTGTCTAGACATCTACTTCAAAATTGAGTTGCAAGATTTCACCCGAACAAACATACATACATTGTAAGTTAAATAAAAGCTTTTAACTATATTTATCTAGTTATGTTTTTATTTTTTTAAGCATTTAACTGCTAGATGTATAAATCTAAAGAAAAGTTTTACTAGAAAAAAATCCACGCGGACCAGGCAGCGGACGGGACTCGAACTCGCACCCCTCGCAATCCGGGCGAATGAAGTGTACATATACATGAAGCGAGACAATTCTTTTTCTCTTTTACCCCAGCATGTGACATCATTGCTAAAGCTCGTTGAGTAGGATATAAATATAATTTTTATTGTATTTTATTTTCAATAACAAAGAAATGGCCGTCTAAGTTGTAATTCTTAGAGTCATTTCAAAATGGAAGCTAATTATGAATGTGAAATTTTGGTATTATGATGTACCTATATGCTGTATTTAAACAACAAATACTAAATACACCGTTTCATCGTGTACTTTGTAAGTTGTGACGAAAACAAACAAATTATTTTTACTTTCGCGGTTTGTTGTACGAAGGGTGCGCGAGTCTGACTCGCACTTGGCCGATTTTACCCCATTCGCACGGAACCCTAAAAATATAATGACTTTCTTTCGGAATAAGGACCTACTAAGAAAGGCCTCACTTCTTATATTGAATATGTACACGACAATGTGATAAGCACATCGTAATAGGACACATCTGCTGAAATCTTTTTCGTCGAACATATATGGAAAACGTTTGAATAGGTTCTGAATAACTTCCTTTTTTAAAATGAAAATATAATAATAAAAGCAACATTGTTAAAGGTTAAAGCCCAACAAATACCCTTATTTCATCCTATACCTATTTCATACAATTATTTTACAATTTAATATCTTATGAGATAATTTTAGTAAAAAATACAAGCGTAACGGCTACAAAATTCAAAATTAATTTTACCAGTAAAAATTTTCTACGAAGTGGTTCCGACTTGTTTGACTTTCATATTAACAATCAAGCTAACCTGTTTTTTTCTTCCATCGCTTCAGAAAAAATGAGAATAAATTTATGTAACTTCTAGTTCCATTATTAAAAAATAAGTTCAGGTAACCCTTATTACCGTACCTTTAATTTTAGGGATTTTTAATGCAACATCTCAAAGACTAGATCATCAGAACTATATTTTAAATGACCTTACTGAGCTGTGACTGATTCCATCAGTAAATCATACTTTCTGTGGTTTTCATCATAAGTAAGGATGTACAGTACAGTTGTGTTCTTATGACTTGCCGTGTAATCATGTTTACCATATCTCTCCATTTAAAAGAGTAATAAGAAAACTGGCTACACTGTTCTTAAATAGGATCTGCTAGGGGACAGTTCTAGGCTATTTTTTTTTTATAGATAGGTCCGACAAATGACTCCACCCCAGCTGATGTTAAGTGATGGTGAAGTCCAGGTGTGAAGATAGCTGGTACAGCAGTTCTACCTGCCACGCCAGCCATCCTCACCTTGTCGGCCTGCATGTTGCTTCTTCACGCCTCTTTTAAATAATCCCAGGTTGTAAGAAGGAGGGAACACGTGATTTGTAGTTGTTATAAAATTATACTGTTGTACATGGTTTTTCCCTGAATGGTCAATACTTATTTTGGTCAATAACATACATTAAAACACAAAATGTACAAAAATCCGTATAGTTAGTATTTATCAATTGTTTAAGTAAAAATATATTTTAATTTACATACTAAATTATAACGACACTTGAAAAAAACAGTAATAATGAAAAACTGTTACTGCTTACAAACTTTTATTTTCACTAATAGTAGAGTAATTAGTGAAAAGCGCAATATGGTACCCCGCTATATAATTACATTTGTTAAGTCTAGTGATGTGCGTGGATATTCAGGAAAGTTTTAATTGTTACTAAAATATCCATATTTAAAACACAGTTACATCGTCAAATCGCAATTACAACAAAACTTTCTTTGTATATACCATTAAATAAATAGAACGTAAGCTTTATAACTTTAAGGACCAAATTACTACGTTTTATCAAACCTTTTAATCTTGCGTCACTTCACCATTAACTAATTTTGGTCATTGTCCTTCACATAAAACTTAATACGTGATTTTTTCAACTAAATGGATAGATATTGTCTATATAAAGACGTTTCATCCATTCGTTGATTTATTTCAGTTTTGTATATCGAACGAAGAAAACGCAAGGCGGAATGTCTGTGTTTCTGGATCGCATAATTTTATTATGCAAACGAATCAAATATGCATGCCGAAACTTAACCGTCCACGGACCGAGTTTCCTCGTTCGCAGGGACATACACATCACATACAAGATAATATATTTCATCATTTACGTACACATATGGTTCGCAGCTGTTGCCACGATATGCAGGTATTACAACCATTATCAAGATAACAAAATACGCTTCACGACCCGAACGGACTATTTAGAATGGAATACGACCTTTCCATCCATAACAGTATGCGAGATGGCAGACATTGAGAAAATATGGATGAGAAATGAAAAATTAAAGGACAACACCACAGAGAAACTCGATAATTTAATAAAGGAGATTGCTTTCTTCGATGGTACTTGCTACAGCTGTTTATCGATATGCGAAGAGGAGCTCGTTTGTAATTTGAATCATTCACAAACGATTTCAATGTACCGATCTTCGTGCAAGCAAATGTTTTTGACTTGCAATTGGAATAACAATCCTATAAATTGTTGCAAATACTTCAAACCGATTCAGACTGAATATGGCATTTGCTTTTCTTTTAACAATTTACACTCGAAAGTGAAGGAGAACATCTACCGTGTTACGACGAGCAACACGCAGAAAAAAGATACTTTTGAAGTGATGCTAACGCAAAACTACGAAGCTTTCATACATTCGCCAGAAGACGTGCCCTTCTGGAATATGGAATATGATAGAAGGATCACAATTTTTCGCGGGTCACAAGCTAGAATTGTTTTTTCTATTCTGGATGTTGTCAATGAGCCTGAAGTGTCATTGACGACTCCAGATGTGCGCCAGTGTAGATTTGAGGATGAAGTACCCAGTAACTATATAGGGTACGATAAGTACAGTTATTCTGTGTGCATTACCGAGTGTCGTATAAGAGCGCAATTAGAACTCTGCAACTGTACACATCGCTTGTCCCCACGGGGATACAAAGACAAATATTGTGATTTAGACGGTCTGAAATGTTTAACTAGGCACTTTAAGACTCTGAGCAAATTGAAGGTGCCAGGGACTAACGATTCGGGAATAGACTGCGACTGCTTGCCTTCTTGCAATGAGCCGGATTACAATATAGTGTCTAAAATGCTAACTGAGCCTGAAAAGGATACTAAAACTGGTATTACTAAATTTATTTTGAGTAACAGACCGTATCAACGAATCACCAGGCAACTGGCGCGCACCCCTCTTGACTTGGTAGTAGCGATGGGCAATTGTTTTGGATTATATTTCGGAGGTTCTCTGTTGTCTATAGCCGAAATAGTATATTATTTGTGTTTTAAAAAGTGGAAATTTGAAAAAGATCGGAAATAGACAGAAAATATAATTTTAGAGAGAATGCATTTTAAAATAATTGTATAACTAATTAACTTTTAGTCTGGACTATCTGCGTTCTATGATGATTCCTGAGAGCATACTAAATGTATTAACTGAAACAAGAAAGAAAAACGTAACTCTCAAATGTTAGTTAAACTTTGCTACGAGAGGCCGCGACGTCCAATAAGTACTAAATCATTAAGTTTCAGTCCCTTAATGAAGTCCACGATTGAATTAACTGAGACATTTATCACAGCTGCGGAGGGCTACACGCTTTTTGAGTTGGCTAACTCTATCACTAAGTAAGTTGGTGCAGACAAAGTTGTGAAATAAGACAGAGTAGAGTAGACGGAAAATAGTACATTTTGTTAGCAGTACACGTAAATATTTGTTTTATAATAATAATATTTATTTTATAATGAAAAGTGTAAAAAATAAGCATAAAATTGAAATTGTCGTACATTAACTTTGGTGAAATTGTGCAGATCAACATATTTTTAAAAGATACCACCATTGAACAGTTTGAAAAATGCTCATAATTTAGTTTAACACGCAATATATGTTGTTTCGGACCCGGCCCGCACGCTTGGCTACAAATCACAATGACATTAAACCGAAAGTAATAATAATAAATAAAATACTTTTTGAATCAATAATGTGTTTATGTGTGTGTACTGTGTAGGTATATATTAAGTTAATATTAAAAATAATTATCAATAAAATAAATGTTATGCTAAAATATTTAAAATACAACTCTTTTGACGACTGTTTACTAATGTAATAAGTAATACAAAGTAAATAAAGTGTTCTTTTTTAAGTTTGTTTGTTGTTGAAGGCACGTAATATTACAGTACCCGGCCATTAATAAGTCGCATCGTGCTTTAGAAAGAGATACTCAGCTAGCTTCGGCTTCGTATAACGCCGTCTCTGTCACCCTTGTCAACCTGCCTTTAGTCACTGACTTGTCAGTCGTTGTTCAACGTCACTAAAGAGTAGTCGCGTTTTTCTTAAAATATATATACAGAGATGCTAAAACAAATATAAATATTTCGCGAAAGACAGAAAAAAATAAGGATGATGATGGCAGTAATTATTTTATGAGAGGCTCCGCATATCTATTAGGTTTTTGTTATTTGGTTGGAAATAAAAATTAAAGTTTTTCATTAAAATAAATAAATTAAAATACATAGTACATATAATATGTTGTATTTTACTTACATGTTTTCTTTTTGTACTGATTTCTAAAAAAAAACTTCAAAAAAGTTCTAGCAGCTCTTAATAGATACCGGACTGATAGTGTTTCGCGTGACAGAGATGATGCTCTACAAAGCCGAAGCTAGCTGAGTATCTCTCTCCAAAGCACGATGCGACTTATAAATGGCCTGGTACTGTACTTACCCTACAACATTTGATGTTAAATCTAACTGGAATACAGTTGATACTTAGCTGGCTGTGAAATTATCGCTACAGTGACATTTTTTTTATTTTTCCTGTGGTCTTCTGTAAGTTAAAGGACGGACAGACCGATTGTTAGATTGAAGATATACGCCTCATATACTTCAAATTGTATGAAAACCGACTGTGTCAGATTTTCAGTACCTACTCACTTGAACAAATAAGTGGTGAATAAGATGGGCTCCTGTCAGGGTGAGCAGAGTCAGGGGGAGGAGGGAGTCAGGGTGCTCAGGAGGGATCTGGGGGATCATGTGTGCCAGGGAGACGGGAGGAAGGGGTATGTCGAAGGAACCTCTCGACCTTACACCACATACACCCCGCGGAATGAAGAACTAACTCGTGACAACGTGACGTGACGTCACATTTTTTCGTGCCTGCAGCCGGTATTCATCGTATTTATAAGAAGTGATTACGTCGAAAATCTTTAAAAATTAAGAAAATACAGCTAAATGCTTAATTAATAACATAATTTTATAACGATTCTATTTTACATTTTACTACTAGATTTGTGTAAAAAGGAACAATTATATATACAAATATATCTGAACGCTGACAACACATTATATCCTGAAATTTTTACATGAACTCTTCACATTTTAGGAAGTCGGAAATCAATGCCTGCTACATATAAAAGCGCTTTGGAAAAAAAATCTAGTAAAATAAATTTATTTTCAATGTTTTTGAGTTACGATAGAATCCTTTGAAAAACATTTTTAACAAAATACCCACCACAAACTTATGCATAAAAAAAGCCAAAGGAAGGTAGGTATCCCTTTTGTTTCATTCCGAAGAAAGTTTAAAATTTGATTTTTACTTTTTCTTTGTATAATGTTTTTTCGTCTTGTTAAACAACCTTTTCTGTCAGGGAAAAATTATCCTACAATTTTTAGGGTTCCATAACCAAAGGGTAAAAACTGAACCCTTTTTTATTACTCTGTCATCTGTCTGTCTGTCCGCATGTCACGGGTACTAGATAGTAAACGGAATAAGTTACAAAATATTTTTTATTTTCAATAACTCGTTTTTTGCTCAGTATTTTAATATAGTTTCTAATGTTATATTCCGTTCTAATAGTATGGAACCCATCGAGAGCGAGACTGCTCGCACTTGGTCGGTTTTTGTTCTCTGAGATAGTCTGATGATAAAGATGAAACTAAAATTGTATTTATATATACTAAATACTATTTAGTAGCGTTTCAATAGAAAAGGACTGACATGGAACCTTAAAAATGGTGAAAATTTGAAATCAAATCGTAATTAAATTAATAAACAACTTGTAAGATATAATGAAGGTTTGTCTGACAGTCATCAACGCTTAAACTAATTACAATACCATAAACATAATTCATCAGTTACTTAATAAATTATTCACCTTATGTTCAGACTCCATGTTTTAGTCTGTATATTAGTTTCTAGTGGCAGAAGTTGAGACCAGAATGAACTCATTAATTAGTGATGACAACTATGCGTGTTCAACATAAAGCTAACGTTCACGTTAAGTCAAGCGACAAGTCGCTTCGATGTTCTAATGAACAAAACTGTTATTGTATTAATGAATCAATATTAATTAAAATATATAGCGACATTCAACTGACATATTTTTTTAAACACAGCGCAGAAATACCTTTTGTAAGCTATTATTTTTTAGAGATATTTCGTTTTCATTTTGCATTGTTGCCCATTTTGTTCGTGTCTGTTTTCTTTGCTAACGATGACAAAGTAGATGAAAGATACTGAATAAGGAAGGTTGTTATAAAACAAAAATAGATTAAAGAGCAATCTCTTTTCAACGATTATCTTTTGTGCAATATTTAATACTAGCGGCTGCCCGCGACTTTGGTTTTTGAGAATCCCACAGGAACCTAACATTTTTCAAAAAGTATCCTATGCCTCAATTTAGGTCAAATACTATATGCGTGCTAAATTTCATCCAAATCCATATTACGATTTACGGTGTACAGATATAGTTTACGCAGCGTTCACCTACATACAATGCGGCAGTCATTTATATTTACGTTATTCTTACCTGTAAAGTTAGTACGTCACAAACATCAGATGAGTTAACTATCAAGTAGAATAATCGTAAGTCTAATATATCTGAGGAGCTGGCGAACAAAACGGTATAATTACATAAAATTAAATTTTACAGGAGCTGTATAAAACTGAATGAATGATCCAGGGAGCGTTTGGCATGGTTTTTAATTTATAAATTTTGTAATTTTAACACTGTTTTATGCGGGTTTGATTGAAAATTATTTGAGATTCAAATTCAACGGACCCGAAACCTCCGGACTGTAAAAAAAGTAGTTTCGCCAGATGCGTAATTAAACCGTTTTGTTTGCCAGCTCTTAGTCTTGTATTTTTACGTTTTTAGAGTGTTAAAGTATTAGTAGACTTCTCTTACTTACATAAGTTAACACGACGTACTGCAACTATGTAACATTATCTTCAGAGTCTATAGTGTACTGGTTTACTAACCTCTACATCCATTGAGTAGTTTTTTCGTAATTCAGTAACAAACATACAAACTTTCACATTTATGATATTTGTAGGATTGAATTAATAAAGTAGGTACTATCATCATTATGAACTAGCTGTGCTCCGCGGTGTTACCCGCGGTTTATCAGGGATATTTTCCCGCAGTAAAACGTTACCTATGTGTTAATCCAAGGTGTCAGCTAATTCCATACCAAATTTTATTAAAATCGCTCCAGCCGTTTAGACGTGAAGATTGACGCATTTATAATATTAGTGTGATTACTGAAAAATTTATAGTTAAGTATTTTATGACAGTCATGAAATTCATCAGCTACTAATCGTATAATTTACTCCTTGTCGTATATTCAAATCTACGTAAATAAAGTACACATTGACGTAATATCTATCAAAAAAAAATATGACCCTGTTATTCGCACGATTATAACTACTAGAACTAGACTCTTTAAACAGTATCCTGTTATTGCATAAAGTTTTTAGGCTGATAAATCATATTAACATTATAAATAGCGAAGAAAACCAAATGGATGGTTTTGTCAAGAGATCATCTATTATGTCGACTCCTGTGGATTACCAGTCATATATCAGTTAGAATACATCATATATATTTAGAATACCTTCTGTTGTAACGAATTCCATCACTATACGTGATTCTTAAAAATAATTAGCGAGTCTCAAATTGATCCTCCTTCTTTCTGTTTTTGTAACAATTCCAGGAATCCCATTTGATTCCATCGCATTGAACTTTCCGACCAAATATTATGTTGTACTTGTACCGGTAGAAGAATGAGCATGTTTTTATTGTTATTTATACTAAGAGATGAATAATTTCAAAAGTTTATTGTTTTGTTG